ACATGCCCACATGAAGAAAGGGAAGATTCATGACAGAGTTGATCCATTACATTTATTTTTATAGAGCTCTACTTACCGTAGACCTTCATTTCCATAGATTCTATTTACTGCTTTTTCTTGTATCACCCATCTCCTTCTGTCTCTCTCTCCCCCTCGCCCTCCTTCCCCCCTGACTGAAAGTCGTAAGATCTAAAATAGTAGTTTGACACTGCCTGCCGGTCACTCGTGTTCCACTCCACTTTTCTGGCCTGTCTGCCCTCGCCAACTTCTGCGTGAAATAGGTCACCTATTTTCACTCTTCAGGCTTCGCAAACATGTGACAGGATCATCCACGGTCCACACTGTCGTGATTGCACGTCATTATCAAAGATGGCGATCTCATACTCAAGATTGAGATATGAGCATGTGTGCAAGGCCCTTTTAATGTGTGGTTGTACTTCATCAACAATGCTGAGGGAAAAGGGGAGGTGGGGGGGGGGGGAAGGGTCAGTCTGCTACTTTGGCGATTTTGGCCCTTTGCGGAAAAAATTCGGGCAAATCATGACAACAGAATGAGACTCTTGTTGAGAGCTGATCTTTTCAGGAAAATATAGTAGAAAATGGAAAACACAATTCTGAAAGCTGCAAAAGAAAATTCCAGTGCCAACAAAATGTACCGTCCTTATTCCTTTCATTTCTTTTTTTTCCCTCTTTATTTTTCTTTTGTTTGACCATCAGCTGCGAAAACCCAGTTTTGGGGTTCATATGAGCCGCCTCCAAAAGCGGGTCCCAAAGCTTAAGTGTGTCAGTGCTCCAGTTTCGGAAAACTTTGGCGGCAGTGGTGGGTGGTTTCACAGAAGGAGGCCTAGGTGTTGATGACGATGAGGGGATTGGTGAATCGCATGCTGGTCTATCTGCAATCAAAATCTTTGTCCTTTGCATCTTTCACCGATGAATCTGATGGTGAGGCGTCAGAGGTGAGGGAGAGAAAAGAGGAAGCAATGACACCAGGAAGATAGGAAGTTGAGATAAACATGGCAGTCGCGGGAAGGAAAAGGATGATTAAGAGAGTGGTGGCAGGTGCTGGAAGGCAAGGACGGTTGCTTAGGATTCAGAAAGGAAATCTCCAGGACGGTCTTCAAAGTGGGACTCGACTCCGCTGCTACATACATAAGCCTTCTCATGAATGTCTCTTTCATCTGGCATGAATGGTGGGCCATGCACACACACCAACTCATGGACATACATAAGCTTTCTCTCAACGTAAACGTCGGCCATCACACACTATCAAAGACGATTTGCGTGCATACGCACACGCTCTTGTGTAGGTTTCAATACAGGAACCGACAAGGTTCATCCCATATCGACCCTTGGCCATCGATGTCATTCACTCCAGTACGCTCATGTCAAACCACCAGTACCTTTCCCCTCTTTCAAAACAAATGTCCGCCGCTTAACAGGGGTGGCGGGCGGGTTCGGAAGTATCGGTGCGAAATGGCTGGTGGCGCCAGCCAAAACGAGTGACGCACCGGTTCCATTTTTTTTGGCACGCAGGTGCATTTTAGGCTTGGCAACGATAGCTGAGAAAGGTACTGGTGGTTTAAGAGTTTGATGTTGAGCACCTGATACGTGGAGGACGAAGGTAGGTCAGGTGCAGTCAAGGAAACACACACACACACATGACACACACACACACACACACACACACACACACACACACACACACACACACACACACACACACACACACATTGTGCTCTTTTCAGAGCTTGAGCAGAGAAAGAGAAAAGGTCTCTGCGTGTGTGTGTCAGGGGAAGAGAGATGGAGAGGGAACGGGATGATGTGTCGATCGCTTGTGGGGCCGAGGTGACATGGCTGGTCGGGGCTGCTCCAGACCCGACTTCGCACCACGTGGCGGCGCGGAGTCACACCTCTTTTTCTTTTTCTTACGTGGAGGAAGCAGGTAGGTCAAGCGCAGTCTAAGAAACAAAACAGACACAAAAGTCTCACATGCACACACACACACACACACACACACACACACACACACACACACACACACACATACACATGTTTTCTTCAGAGCCCGAGCAGAGAAAGAGAAAAGGTCTCTCTTTCGACTGCCTCCACACTCACACACACACACACACACACACACACACACACACACACACACACACACACATGTTTTCTTCAGAGCCCGAGCAGAGAAAGAGAAAAGGTCTCTCTTTCGACTGCCTCCACACTGCCCCCTCCGCACCTGTGTGCACAAGCCTACCATCCAGAAAAACAGGTGGATTTCAGTTTTTGCGCCTTAGTGCCTGGGCTAGCCTAGCTCCTCAAGCTGGTCGTTCTCCTCATAAAGTTCAAGGTTGGGGTTGAAAGATGTCGTCTGCATACGCCCAGAGTAACCCGAGTTCGAACCCAGAACCTTCCTGGTGCAACTAAGTCATGCAACCATCTTTAGTACCCCGCGCTACACACCTCACATATCCAAGAAAAGAAGGAATGCCATGAGGCCCTCCATCAACAATTTGGACGAGTACTCCCTGAAAAACATACAGTTAAGCGTTAGCAATTTCGTTCCCTTTCTATTCTGACTCCTGTGACTCTGATTCTTTTCCTCTGGCAAGCTACATCGGTTGACGGTACCCGGCCGGCAGTTTCATCACCTATCAAACTTGGAAAATCCTCTGCAGCTCTTAGGAACTGAAGAGTTTTCACATGGCCCGATGATTTGATCATTCATACAGATCTCAATATCCTTGTTGCGACTGCAAAAGGACAGGTAGATTTACAGAACCCGTTATGAAAAACTGGAATTTTGTGGAACGCAGCCTCTTGCCTAAATTTTGTCCCAGCGCAAGGGGTAAGCAACTCGGTCTGAAACGACTGAAGACATCCATCAAAATTAGAAGGATACAGAAAAGATTATCACGGTCCCTTGAACCACCAGCACCTCGCCCAGCTAAAAAAAGAAGTCGCGGCCGTTAACGCGCCACGACTTTCGGGGGTCGGTAGCTCCAACGCTCGGTTGGTGCAATTTCAGCCACCCCCAAAAACCTCGGAAAAATAGAAAAAAAAAACTATTTTCTTCTACCCAAAAAAAAAAAAAGAAACGAAAACACGGCGACTTCACGCTGGCGGG